TTTCAAATGTTCTATTTGATTACCCTTATTCTTCAGTATCTATATACAACAAAGACAAATAAAGCCTTTATAATATAATATCGATATATTAATTATAATATCGAAAGAGGTATTTTATCCCACTGCTCTCAAATAGCTTTCCAAGGTTGTGTGTGATGTTTAGGCAACCTGCTTTTTAGAAGTCCAGAAGCACAAAAAAAAAAAAAAAAAAAAAAAAAAAAAAAAAAAAAAAATTGGTGATAGATCATGAGATTTATTAGGTATGAGTAAACAATCTTGTCCCTTTTTTACCAAGAAATTAAGAGTAGATTTTGATGTGTTACTGCTTACTTTGTCTTGATGCAGCTCTACTGATTGATGACACTTTGGGTAAATAGAAGATATTTTACTTTTGCAAATTGGGTAAAAAACATGCTTTTGATAATACATGGAATTGATCTTAACATTTTTCTCCACACTCTTTATCGTTAACTTGAGATTGTATGAAAAATCCAGCAACAATCATAAATCCCTTAGAAATACTTTCTTTAGATTTCTTGAAATGAGTTTTAAGATATTTTTCTCTTTGATGATAATAAATGGATCTCTTTCTATTGCAGTCATTTCAGTATACCCAAGATTTATCTATTGGGACAACACTTTTCCATTTTTGTCTGGATAAATGTTTCTCATTAAGAATTCTGCAGCATGTTCTGCATTTGGCAATATGTCAAAAGAAAGACTGCACATTATATTTTTTTTGCCTTTTTAAGATTCATATCAGCATTAATCACTTTGTTTACAGTTGACATTGAGTATTTTAATGATTTTGCAATCGTCCTTTGACTTGGCAGATTTTTCTTCTAACATTATAGATCTTACTTTTGCAGCATTTGAAACATTCGGCTTTTCCTGGATATGTATTTGCAACAATTTTTTCACTTGAAGCTAAATTTTGACGTTTTTTCCTTTTGCTGTTGACAACATTACTTATCGCAGCTTTACGTATTAAAAAAATATGGCTTTAACGTTTTTTAATAACTAGATATGAATAATTTTGTTGAGAAAGAATACATACATAGCCTTCCAATGACTGCTTCTTTAAAAGTGACACTTTGGATGAAAACAAACTATCAAGAAGCAGACGATAATTTTTACTTTCAAAAAGTCTAGTCGCAATTAAAAAAAAAAAAAAAAAAAAAAAAACCTCAAGTGGAAATTTCTTCCAGCAAAGCAAAATCGTCTAAAAAGTGTGAGAACAGCCTCTGTATGTCTGGGCAATGAGAATGAAAGTCTAATCAAAGAATTGAGAGAATTCATCACTGGCCGCATAAGACAGCTCCAACAAAGAAGTTAGAAATCACACAACTGAAGGCTCCGAAGAAATGAAGAAACTTGTTAAGGAGAGAAATGCTATCAGGAGGAAATATCTAAAGACATCCAGACGACAAACATCTAAATCAGCTGTAAAACTCTGTCAGGTCTCAAACAGATGTTCAAGTAAACTAGAGAGGATTAACTACATCAATTTGCTTTCTGCTGATTGTTTCATCTGGAAAGCAATTTCTAGGCTCAAGAAAAGACACATTAAAATTTTATTCTTTAAAGGCTCATTATGATCCATTACACCAAAACTAGGAAAGCTGCTTTTTTAGCTCAGCACTTGGAATATCTATTGCGTATAAAAATTCGGGATACTACAACAGAACTCATTGTTTCAAATTTCACATACCAATACTCTACAGTGTGCATACAGCATTACTCCGGTCTTTCCATCTGAAGTCCCTGGCAAAGGAAAATGCCTACAAATTAAAAAGAGCTCTGGAATTGATAACATATACAATGAGATGATGAAGATGTTCCAAGCAAAGCATATTCAGGGTGATGAAAATATTCATCATCATTCTGGAACATCTGTATTTCCCTGACTTTCGCAAGATGATAATGGTAATAACAGTCCTGAAGGCGAATAAAGCACCTAGTGTGCCTGAATTTTAAAGACCAATCAGCATACTCCTTTCATTAAGCAAAATCATGGAAGCGGTCATTTTTAGGAGAATAAAAGACTACTTGGATTTAAAAAAAAAAAAAAAATACTAATTCTACATACGTTTGGCATCAGACAATTATCAACTACCAACCCGCTCTACCATGTTGCAGAAATAATTTCTGAAGGCCTTCAAAAAATGTACTGCAGATCTTTTTCTTGATTTTGCCAAAGCTTTCAATCACATCTGGCTGGATGCACTCATATACAAAATATGCAGCCTGGGATTTCTTACATACGTTCAGAAACAAAATTAAATCCTACCTGGCAGGTAGACACATTTTTTTTTGTTGGCATGAATTCTACCCATTGAGCTACATTAGTGAACACTGCACAAGGGTACCCTTCTTGGACACACTTTATTTAATATCTACACAAATGACATTCCAGTTACCAAATACCACTTTTGCAATATATGCCATGACATAGCAAACATAGCATAAAATCCATTTCTTAGTCCAGTCATGAAACAGACTCACATTCAGATACTTGAGACCTGGTCAACAAAATGGAAAATTTAAATCAATTCTAAGAAATCAGTTGTGGTAATGTTCACCAAGAAGAAACTAAATAAAATCTCATTCTTAAGAACTCCTCTATCCTGAGATAAGCAAGTCACTTATGTTCGGGTGATCTTCACAAATTCAATCACATAGGCCGCACACATCACGTTTATTATCAATAATTCTTTTGAGTGTGTATAGATAAACACTTCTCCTTAATTTCTCAAAACAGTATTTTATCTATTGATAAGGTACTCATTTATAAATGCATTTTATATCCTATTCTATATGTTATATCTGCCCTGTCTGGGCATATTCATGTATAACTTGCAAACTGTATGGAACTATGTTCTGCGGAACCCTGTAAATGCACCACCACATTTAAGAAATAAAAGAATTCATGAAGAATTAAATACCAAGGAGCTCTGCATCTTTTATCACACGAAGTATAATTTTTACAATTAATGCACTATTAATAATGAAGCAATTAAAATTTGAAACTATAATATCAATGACCCTAGTGATAGCAAAATACCCAAATGCATTTTATGTACCAATGGTCTTCACTTAAATATATTATAATTACTTAAAAGATTATGTTTAATTTGGCACCATATAATCAAACTTTCTGTATTATCTATTAAACTTCTCATCACCATGCTCAAACATATTAAGATATATCCTAAAACTGGAATGAAGTTATCTGGCTGTAAACATTTGAAGACCATATTTATTTGATAAGGGTAGTGCTTCAGTCTTTGAGACTGCTCATCCTTTGCAGTTTGCCGGATTGCTTTTCTTTCTTTGTTATCCAAGTATTCTTGCAATCTTATTACTACTGCGAAAATCCTTAGACTACTTCTGAAACTGAATCATTCATGCATCATATACTACAACAGTGTTCCTCACATGTGTAGAAATGAGATAAATGTGTCAAGAACTTGTTAACACTGAAAACAATGACAGCACCGGGGGGGGAGGGAAGCCTTCTACACATTTTTTTACTATTCTTTCTTTTCGTAATTTTATTAAGGACACAGCCAATAAAAAAAGGCCTCTCATTTGGCTTAAAAATAGCATTAGTGCAACATCCTAAACAATACATTCTGCAACATACGTGGTTCAGAACAGAGTATCATACAGATGTTCTCTAAGCTGCTAACAAAGCATACATACTTGTGTAACTAGTTGTGCAGAAGAAACTGCCATGTTTTTTAAAAACAAGTTACACAAAACCACAGTTAGCAAATAATATAAGAATTCATTTAGATACACTTTGCAGCACCAACGCATTTCAAGATGACATCAAAGTTTTACAATTTTGTTGCACACAAGTTAAACACAGAAAGATTTTCATAAAAATGTCCATGAACAGTACAATATGTACTGAATATTAAAATAAAGCTAGACATTACACTTTGCTTAGCTATCACATGAGAGCATATTTACTAATCTTGAAGTATGAAAAGCACAAGTTTTGGAGGTTTTAGCACTGGGGACAGATGTTACTTCAAATGAATGACAAACTGACTTAAATTAGCCTTACAATACATGATTCAGGTTACTGAAATATTTATAGTATGTATCAGGATGATATAAAATATTTTAATTAAGTATGCTAAACTTTTGCTTTTTTGTTCATTTCATTTTGTAATTTTCTTATTCTTTCCTGAGTAGGGAAGAAAAGTTATTATTTATCAAAGTACTTTACGATAATGAAAATAAAATTAATAATTAATGTACTAATAAAATAATACCATTGTGTGGTTTATCTTAGCAATGTATCATACTTTCATATTAAATAAAATTACACAAATATTAATGCTGATTAAGTATTAGTTGAATCTTCATAAAAAGTTCCACAGATGTCTAGAGTAGATTAAGAAAATTCACATTAAATAAAATTTAATCAGGAAAATTATGCTTAAAAACACTAGGGGAGTCAAAAGGAGTTTGTACAATTTAAGTTCCATTAGTTCCATTAATTTCATTCATTGCTGCAAAAAAATTTCCTTAGTAAAGTCCCAAAACACAAGTGTGGGAAATTTCATGACCTACTAGATATGATGAAATACCGTAAGAATTGTGATCTATCAGCAGCAATAATTTTAATATATAACCAATTTTTAAATGCTTATAAAGTTGTTCAAAATTCTGTTAAATATTAACTTTGAAGTCGTGTATCTGCTTCAAGTATGAAAGAAGTGAAATACTTTAAAATAAGCAAATCTATGCATCTTAGTCCAGAAAAAGTTTTTAAAGCACGAAAAAGATTAACTTCAGTCTAATACATCCCATTTTTTAGACAGGAAGGTAAAATATAAAAAGAAAATATACAGATATTATTACAAGGGGAACCACCAACACAACTTTTATAGTAAAATGATTCAGAACTTTAATATAGATAACGTAAGTGACATATTTAATGCATACACATTTTCATAAATTAGAAATGAAAGAAGGAAACATACTAGCAATGCTTTTTAAATTCTCTTTCATACTATTATTTTGATTACACTTTTTCAGTCTACTTAATCTATTATCTGTTTCCCGTAAACTATAAAAACTTGGTCCTTTCTCCAAAGAGCCCTCCTCATGAGTTTTCTGAGAAAACGCTCCCATTTGGCGCCTACATTATAAGAGGAAAAAACTCTTTTAATATGCATACAAAATTTAATTCCTGATATAAGGAAATGCAAATTATTTTAATTTGAATAATAATGAATATGAAACAATGTTTATTATATCAACAAATGCTTTGATATGGCAAAACTTCTATTAGTTAAGCAAATAAGTCACTTAAACCCTTGACATACAATGATGTCCGAGAGATGCCATTGATTTCATGTGCCACTGTGGACTTTGACATCTCCGAGATGTCAAGAACTGTCTTCAGCGAATGCCGCACAGTATATTATTGTTATACAGCAATGTAAATTTGAAAATAAGATGTTCTGTTTCTAAGCTTGCACATGAGTGCCTAAATTAAATGGGTATTCTTTGGACACATATTTTATTTGTATGTCAAGGGGGTTAAGCAATGGCCTGACTCATTTACGACAATAATTACAAAGGTTATTCACATATTAAAGGAAGAGCACAGTTACTCTTCTACCACATTACAGACATTAAACATTTATGAACACTTCATCAATGAAATTTCAGCTATACATCTGACATAATTCTCAGGTACAGTTGATCTGTTGTTGTAAGATAACTCTCAACTAATTGAGATAAATGTCTGAAGGAAAAAGGTTACACTTATTCTGGTACCTATGTGACCAAATTAGTGCTGCCAAACCTAATCTGAGACTGACAGCTTTTCGTCTCCATGGAGAAAAGTCATACATAAATTCGAGTCATTTTAAGTAATACTGCACAAATAAAATTTGAATATACTAATTTGTTGTTATTCTAATGCAGTCATGTGATAATAAAACCAATTGTTCAAAGGTGATTTATGAAACAGATCTCACAAATAAGATTCAAAATTTGGAATGTGTTATAAATATAATAAATCACTTTCCTAGAGAAGCTCAAATGAAGCTTTAATTGACTAAAATTGCACATAAAACAATTGTTACATTGTAAGAACATTATTTAAACTAACAATGACTGTTGGCATTCAATGTAGTATAATTTTAGTGCTGCCAACAATGTTAAATATTATACCACAGAATGGCACAAATTTCTGCTTTACCATGTATTAGAAAGTGCAGTCATGGTTGGAATTCAGTGAGCAAGTGCATCTTTTCAGAGAGTTCAATGCACTGAAAGTTTAGTGAAGCTACTTTTAAAACACGTGAAAATCATTTTTAATGATCGCTCCATCACATCACAATTTGGAATAAATACAAAGTCTTTTTCTCTCGTTCATGCCATAGTTATCAATGACACCTTTAGGATTACTGAAACTAAATTACTTTTTACTGACTAATGACTACTGCAATTCAAAGTACATCTATTGTAATTTTGAAAGGATAATGGATCTTATAACAATAGATTGTTTTGAAATCTTGTGGTCAGTTTATTATATTCTGGATATATTATAATATACAGATCTTGTTCCACTCTGGAATTTGAAATGATGTCATCTTACTTATGCTGCAAATAATACTTTTCTTCAAATCTTAATGTATTAGAGACTGCTATAAGCTAATAAAGTATGTATAATTTCATCATTTACAACTCAAAAACATTTTCCGGTCACAATAGACAAATTGCAGGAGAAAAAGAGTGGAGAAATTTCAAACGGAAAAATATGAGACTTGCAATGGTATGGTGATTCTGGTGACATAAAAAAGGAAACACCGAACGTAACTTTGCATGCTCCTGTTATGCATTTTGGACATCAGAGATCAAGGATGTCCCCACTGTGATGGCTGCATCTAGGTTTTTGCACAATGCCTATAAATCCACGACTTATCACTAGCTATCACAGTGAGTTATGATCTGTATATGCCAGCAGGTCTTGCACAACTTTCAGAGATCTACTTCAATTCTGCCATTAGTAGTTGTGGCAAAAATTTTGTAAATGATCACATCTTTTATGGACACAATTAACTACACTGATTCAAACCTCTTCAGCAAATATGAGCTAATGCCTGATTCACATAAAATAAAAGCATGATGTACTGATTAATCTCATTTAGACATAAAAAATATGCGATACTTTATACCATTGACCAAAAAGGTTTTCTCCAATTATGCACACAGCTCTAAGTGGCATAACCACATTTATCTTGATCATGAGATCACTAAACTTTACAAATGAATTTTCGTGAAGTTATTTTATCACATTTACCATTATGAGTTAGAAAATAAGGGAAAAAATCAATTTGATGGTGATTATGCATAATTACCAGTTATATATAATCACTGGATGAATCACATTTACTGCAAATAGATACTGCTAGGCCATATCAACTATTAAGCTTCTGCCCAAATTTTGAACAATACTGGGTGAAAAAGGGAACAATACAAGAATCTCCCACTATTAACCCCTACCACCATCCTCTCAAGAGGACTATCCTCTTCCTATCCAAGGTAAGCCAAAGATTACCCTGTATTTTGAGTGTACCCTTGTCAGACACTATAGACTTACAAACATCCATGGATCAGATATCTGATCAATTGGTAAGGGCATCAGCACCACCTATTACCAATAGTATTTTGAACACACAAGAAATGTTTCCAAATACACATTTCAAAATCCCTTTAGGTTGCAACATATTGTCATAATGGATTTCACAGCCAGCTGATGCGATCAATAGCATTTTTGACTTCGCATCCCACAGGCTGAGGGATCAAAACCTACTGGCAAAACAGAAGCTGTTTCCACTTCATATGCTCTAAGCATCTGTAGCAAATGTATATAATCAGGTGAAAAGTACGTACTATCATGCTTAAAGAATTAAACTTTTTTTAAATGAACTCTAGATAGTTAAATTTAGCAGAAAGTTTTCCTCCCACCTTTTGACACTATTATTTTGAACAGATGGGTTTTATGTATATATATATATATATATATATAATTCTATGTTCTGTATTTTGAAAAAACAATTCTTAAATCTGTTTTAGATGCTGAACTAAAATGTAAATACTAATATCAGATGTTAAAAATTTTTTCTTTACTATTTTAATATTTAAAAAAAATGAATGGTAGTCTTCCAGGTGTTAAATTGGAAGTAAAAATTTCTGGAAAGCAAAAAGAGTAATTCCAGGTGTTAAATTGGAACTACTCTTTTTTGCTTTCCAGAAATGGGTCTTGTGTGGATGATTTAAAAAGCTATAAAAAGCCAGAGAGAACATTTCAGCTCAGTTGTTTACTTAGCTGCAGTAATTATTGTTGATTAGATTAGCTTTCACTGTGCTGTAGATTACATTCTATTTAACATTTTAGTAAAGTATAGTTACTGATTACATTGTGTGATACTGTACGACAGGGTTTCGTACACATTTCTGCACATGGAAATTAAGTACTTTTAAGGACCATTAATGAAAACAAATTAAGGATCTATCAGCAAATGGGGGCTGAATAAATTCAATTAAATTTCAATCAACTTATGCCTGAACTCCGTTTTTGTAATAACCTTCTAAGAATAAAATAGATCCGTAAGTAGGATGCATTCTTATTAAACATAATTTTAAAAACATAACTATAAAAAAATTGAGAATAAAATCCACTTTATAAAATTTATCAGGTAGCATTAAATATTTTACACGTTGGACATATTTGAAAGAAGATTTGGGACATTTTATTTACGTTTTACAAATGGTTAGCTTTATGTTGATTTTTCCTTTTATGTCTCATTTTGCCACATACTTAGTCTAGAGGTTTAGTAAACAGCAGGTAGATTTTATGTCAAATGGCATAGGTTAAAATCAGAAATAAAATCATAATCAGCATTATTTGTAACAGAAGATTGGCTGTTATCCGTGCTGCTGCTTGCCTACAGAGAGATATGTTGATCAGGATAAACCTGAAAGCCTGATGTAGTTTTGAAAGTTAGTTGTGCTCCATCTGTCTGACACAGTTAGTATTATAGCTTCATGTAGTTCTCAGCATTGTAACCTAGTTAATATATTTTAAGGTTCCAATAAGCCACTAATGCACCAGAGGTGATACGTTGTTTTGTATTATATTAAGTGCCATAGATGCAAAGAATAAGTTTTACATTAATTTTTACATCTTGTGACCACAGTAAGAATTAATGAAGGGCAATAATTTGCTTTAACATGCAGAGATAACTTTTAAAGGTAAGTGGTTAGTTACAAATAATTAAATTAGGTAGTTAAATACCCTTAATCATTACAGATTTACATGACCACTATTAAATTTTATTTATTTTTTAAGAACATTTGTTGAAAAAGCACTATTAAAATCACTATCTAATAACATTTCACAGTTTAAAAAGCATGCAATTTTAAATTGTCTGTTTTAAATCAATGTCATATTCTGATAATTCTAAGACATGCGAAAAATTCTTACCATGAAATAATTAAAAGGAATTTTTTAAAAATTAATTATATAGCTATTTTGCTTTTGCTATGAACTGTTTTTTTGCAAACCGTGCTTTATAGCATTTATTACTTTTATATTTCAGATTCAAAATACTATATAATAAGTCAAAAAATGGAAAGTAATGCCACTTTAAGATATAATAGCAAAAGAAAATAAAAAAGTTTTATTTTAATGTTATTCCTTAAATGTAATTTAAATATATTTCCATTAAAATCGTAAAAACAACCTTCTATATAGCATAAGTATAATGAAACACTCAATCGATTTTGAGGGCAGCTAAAGGTCCCTCCTCATCAGGAGAAAGAAATACCTAGAAAGAAGAAAATAAAGGAGAAGGAATCTCAGAAACACATGGTCCTTATCAGCACTGGCCGCCTACTTTTACTGAGCCAGGCTATCTGATCAAGCATAAAGGACAAGAAAAATTAGCGAAGTTAAAATAGGGAGCGAGGGGCAAATGCACCTTCACGCTCAAAATCTGAACTTCAAATAATGGAAAGCAACCACTGAACGGATTTTTATACCCTCTGGTAGTACCAAACGCGAGGAGGTAATGCCATCTATCGGCAAAAATAACTGAATTAAGATAGTAGAATTTTAAAGGC